TAACAGTGGTGCCATAGGCTACACAAGTGTATCCACAACACCATAAACCCATTTTAAAGTTTTTCATTAACTTATTAGTCACTTCACCACCAGTTGAAAAGGCTGTATCCCCACCCTCACCCAGTGAACACTAACTTCACCCCTTCAGGATAGGTAAATATATTAGGATTCCTTAAGTTTTAGATCCCTATAGAATTATATAAGTATCATTCTTTATGAAAATCCATAAGAACTAATATCTATGCTTGAGATTTTTCTTTTAGTAATAATAAGACGACTGCTGCTGAACATCAGTTGCTAGTTAACTCTGCTTGCTGGAATTATTTCCTGAAACTGCACTGCTTGAAGTTACCAGGAACCTGCTTTCATCAATCAAAGAATTGTTGAAATGTATGGATGATTAATAGACCTGCCCTTAATCAAACCCTGAATGGTTTCTATTGTTAAAACTTTATGAATTGATAATTAGTACATGTAGCCCCTCTCCCATTTACTTGCATGTATCGCATTTTCAATAAAAAGGCACAGTGATTCCTAACAGTTGTCACTCCTCAGAGAGCAATCTCTGGGAGTGTCGAGTGTCCGACTTAGGACGTGCATGAAAATGCACGAGATCTTGGTCTTCCTTTCCTTCCAGCGTCTCCTCCGTTGAGCCAACCCACCCCTGCAGAGGTTGGTCCCTGGCAGAAATCCAGTGTCTAGCCACTATGCCACGTCTGGACTCCACAACTTTTTAAGAGTGTAGATTACCAACTTAAAGAGTTGCAAGCAACAATAACTTTCTTTTAATGAGTATCTTTTGTTTGTTCTCTTCATGTAATTGTTATTCTGGTTTGTATCCCTAGGCAGTTTCTACACATTTAGGTCAAATGTTTAGCAAGTTTGTAAATTTAAATTATACAAAGGGTATAATAAAATTTTCTGTCATGGAAAAAATTAAAAAAAGGAGAGACATCACATCAATACAATTTAACACAACAAGACACTCCAGAAAGCAGAATCGCCAACTAACAGAAACAAAGATATTCAGATTGGAACGGAGGACCACCAGATGGCATGATGGTTTTGTCACTGGTCTCCCACATAGTCAACCATGGTTCGAGTCCCTGACTCAGTGTCTTTTTTTTTTTCTTTTTTTTGAGAGGTTTTTGCTACAGGGTGTGTGCACTTACCAGAAAGACAGAGAGAGAGAAATCACCACCAAGGGTGGATGGCCATGCCACAATCCCTTCTTCTCTTTTCTCTTATCAGGATCTTGGGCATGCATACACTCGCACCTAGCATGAGTTTAAGCCACCAGGTCTGGGACTCGAACCACAGTCAACTACATGGGAATCCAGCAACATAACCATTATGCCATATGCTGGTCCTACCTGACCCAGTGCCTTAAACCTCAAGCTGGGTGCATGTGCATTCATGCCCAATATTTCTAGAGAAGAATAGAGGAGATTGAATTGAAGCATGGTCATTTCTCCTAAGATGTGATTGCTCACTTTCTCTCTCTCTCTCTCTCTCTGTATCTCCTATGAGCACATGTGGCCTATAAGAAAAAATCCAACTAGAAAAAGATTAGAATGGGGACCAGCAGATAGCATAATGACTACGTCGCTAGACACCCATGTAGTTGACTGCAGTTTGAGCCTCGGACCCTGTGGCTTAAACTCATGCTGGGTACATATGCGTGCATGCCCAAGATCCCAAGAGGAGAATGGAGGAGAAGGAATTGTGGTGTTGCCATGCCCCCTGGGGTGTGACTCCTCACTTTCTGTCTCTCTCTTTCTTCCTGGTGAGTGCATGGGCTCTATAGCAAAAACTTCTCAAAAAAAAAAAAAAGATTAGAATGAATATAAATATGAGATATTAAAAACCATGCAAAAAAACCACTGTAACCACTATCTAGTTTGTTTAAGAATCTCAAGTAACTTACTGAATATTAGATATATCTTATTAAAAAAGAGAGACAAGATCCAAATCAATAAATCAGATATGGAAATAAAGATAATATTATTTTTTTAATTTTTACTGAAGCAGTTTTAATATTTTCATATAATCTTAATAAATATTACTTAAAACTGTTTCCATATGATAGAATATTTTTTGTAATCATTTTATAATTAAGTCTTACTTATTAATATTATGTGTTACTCATTTTTAAATTTATTATCCTCATAATCTTGTTTATATTTCATTGAATCACATATAACTTTACAATGTATTACATTTCTTTTTCCAGAAGGAATACCATTCATATCAGTCAATACAGGGACATTAAAACCCCTATTACATAATCCAATATCTTTTTATTGTTTTTCCTGATCATTATTATTATTATTCCAATTATTTTTTTAAACAATTACTATTTCTCATTTTGCTTGTAAAAAGACTTTACTCAACATGAAATTTCTGACTGCACAAAAGGAAAAAGCTTTCTAGAGAACACAATGAGTAATAGCTAATAAAATTTAGCAATTAGTCAATACACATAATGTAAAAATGCCCATTAATCTAATATACCATTCATAGTTGCAGGTTTAATACCTGTTTAAGATTGATATACACAATGACTGTTTTAAAGAATGAATTTAAGAAGTCATTTTCAGTTATATTATCATATGAAGATATAAAATTGGGGTGCATTTCTTATTTAAAACCCTAAAACTGTGATACAGGCTTATGAAATAAAACCTTAGAATATCTGTTTTATTTGGAACTCTTTCTGTTTTTTAAAGCTTTCCAGGAGTTCTCACCAGGGCTTATCAGAATAATGTAGCACTTGGGCACAAAGATGCAGCTTAGGAGCCCTGCACTGGAGGCCAAGATGGAGAAGACTTCCACAGCCACCATGAACTTCCCCTTGGTGCTGTGATAGACGGGGACAAATGTGACCCAGACACTGCAGAACACCAGCATGCTGAATGTGAGAAGCTTGGCTTCATTGAATGTGTCAGGCAGGTTCCTGGCCAGGAAAGCCACAGTGAAACTCCCCACAGCCAAGAAGCCCAGGTAGCCCAGGACACAGTAGAAGGCAGTGACTGAGCCCTTGTTGCACACAATGATGAGGTTTCTAGGCTCAGAATGTGAGTCTATGTCAATGAAAGGGGGAGAGGTTCCCAGCCAGATTCCACAGATAATCATTTGGATCAGGGAGCAAATAGGAATGACAGAGTTAGAAACCCCTGAGAGCAGCAAGCACCTCATTGTTCTTCTAGGTTTCACAGCATTGAATGCCAGAATCACAGTAATTGTTTTGGCCAGGACAGTGGAAACAGCTACAGTGAACACAAGGCCAAATGTGACTTGTTGGAGGACACAGGTGATTGCATTTGGATGGCCAATGAAGAGCAAGGAGCAGAGGAAGCACAACAGGAGAGAGATGAGCAGAATAAAGCTGAGAGCCTGGTTGTTGGCCTTGACAATGGGCGTGTCTCTGTGCTTCACAAAGACTCCCAAAACTACAGCTGTGAGAACAAAGAAGCACAGCGCCATGCAGGCCAGAGCTGTCCCCAAAGTATCCTCAAAAGCCAGGAAGGTCACAGGTTTGGGGAGGCAGTGAATTCTCTCACTGTTTGGATACTCTTGAGCTGGGCACTGGACACACTGCTTCGCATCTGTTCACAAAATGAAGATGCAGCATTTCAATTTCACAAGCTGATTGTCATGTTGAAGGAAATAGTGACTTTTGGTTTCTTTTCCTCAGATAAATCCCTGAGGTAATACCAAGATACACCAAGGTAAGAGCCCACATTTATGACACTGGGAGAATTTTTTTCTTCTGTATTAATAAAAAAGTGATTTTTAAATGGAGTCTCAGCATGTGAGGATCTTAGTTAGCCCATTTTGTGGCTCTCAATGACGTTACCAAGGATGAGAGTTTATTCCAGATTTCTTCTCTACTCTCTACTGAGTTTTCCTTGAGATAAACCTTATATTTCCATGGCTTATCATAATTGTTTATCAGAATAGTAATGAATAGTATTCTTATTTATATTTAGAAAAGAATTGCTTTAATTCGTTCTCCTGAAATACCTTAACTTGTCCTCTAACCTAATTTTTATTATTATTTTTTTAATCTTTTTTCTTTATTTGGAGAGCTTTTTGCTATGGGGCACGTGCACTCACCAGAAAGACAGAGAGAGGCAGAGAGATAGAAAGCCAGAAATCACTCCCTGGGGGGATGGCCATGCTGCAATCCCTTCTCCTCCATTCTCCTCTCAAGATCTTGGGCACGTATGCACACGCACCCAGCGTGAGTTTAAGCTGCCGGGTCCAGGACTTGAACTGCGGTCGACTACATGGGAGTCCAGTGACATAGCCATTACACTAACTGCTGGTCCCTCTATTGATTCTTTCTTGTATATAACATGTCACTTTGTGTACAGACTTTTCTCATTGTACATTTTGATTTTTCTGTAAATATTATCATAAACACTCCTATGTAAATACTGAAAACAATTTAAATATAAAACTTTTAATTCTTGAATGGAATTTGATTTCTCTTATACATCAATTTTTTGAGAAATTTTTATTGTAATTATTTGATAGAAGGATGAGGTGTTAGTTTTAAACTATCCATTTATATACATCTGAAAGCATGGTTTGTTAATTTTTTTAATGTGACTGGTAATAGTGTTGCCTTTATACATTATTAGGTCTTTGTTACAACTATTCATCTCTGTTATGCACCAGGAAAACCTTCACAGAGCTTATGGAAATCTCTGTTATGCTCCAGGAAAACCTTCACAGAGCTTATGGAAATTAACAGGCATGTTTGTGTGTCATTTATTATTATTATTATTTGTACTAAAATGAGTAGGCTTGGTCTTCATTTCTCAAGATTTTTTCTTTTCTTTTTTGGAGAGGTTTTTGCTATAGGGCATGTGTGCTTGCCAAAAAGACAGAGAGAGACAGAGAGACAGAAAGTGAGAAATCACCCCCAGGGGGGGATGGCCATGCTGCAGTCTCTTCTCCTCCATTCTCCTCTCAGGATCTTGGGTTCGCACGCACAAGCACCCGCGTGAGTTTAAACCACCAGGTCCAGGACTCGAACCACGGTCAAGTACATTGGAGTCCAGCAACATAGCCAATATGCTAACTGCTGGACCCTCAAGTTTTTATTAAATAATTAATTCATTTATTTTTGGTAATACTGACACAATAGCATTGCGTTGTCAGAAAAGTCATGTGCATTTTTGCATAGAAATAAATAAAAAATACAGCATGACTTTTCCAGCAACCCCATACATTCTCAAAGAATTAGAGTGGAGGCCATCAGGTGGCATGATGGTGAAGATGTGAGACTTCCATGTGGCTGACTGCATTGAATCTCACACATGACAACTTGCTTTGTCACTTCTCTATCTCTTTTTCTTTCTTCTCTGGTGAATGTATATGCCCTTTAGCAAAATTTAAAAATAATAATGGTAAATAAAATTAAACAAATACTTTCTCTTTTTTTTTTTTGAGAGCTTTTTGCTACAGGGCATGTGCACTTGCCAGAGAGACAGAGAGAAACAGAGAGACAGAAAGCGAGAAATCACCCCCCAGGGGAGATGGCCCCACCACAATCCTTCTCCTCTATTCTCCTCTTGGGATCTCGGGCACACACGCACACACACCCAGTGTGAGTATAAGCCACTGGGTTTGGGACTCGAACCGTGGTCGACTACATGAGAGTTTAGCGACCTAGCCATTATGCTAACCGCTGGTCCTAACAATTCTTAAAAATGAATTAGTGATAGTCAATAACATTTTTTTTCTTGCAGTACCTATTCATTTTTCTACAGTCAGCAGATATTCCTGTCTTCTGTCTCAGAGACATGTTTGGTACCCAGAAATGCATGAATTTCTCCTTCTGGGTCACAAACTGTTTCTTACTTTGTTTTTCCTTTTTGTTATTTTAAAGAATATTTAATTAATTTTATTCGCTATTATTTTTAAAATTTGTTGTAGGGCATGTTTGCTTACCAGATAGAGACAGAGAGAGAGAGGGAAAGTGAGAAAATGAGCCACCAGGGCTGCGACTTGTACCATAATTGGTCATGTGGGAGTCCAGTATCTAAACAAACATGCCAGGCCACTTGCTGACCCTATTGCCAGAGGCTCATGAATTCACTAGAGAGAGACACAGAGAGAATGAGGAAGTGAGACAGCACCACTTCCATAAAATGGTCATGCCACAATAATATCTGCACCATTTTTTTCTCTTATCAGGATTTTGGGCACACATGCACATGTGCCTGGTATGTTTCTCAGATCGCTGGATTTGGGACTCAGTCACACAGTTAGTCATGTGAGAAACTGAGAGGAACTCTTTAATAGAGAAAAGATTGCAGGAAAATAATGGTCAGGGAGTGAAAAAGTAGACTACAGAAATGGAAGTACCTATTATTTAAATATACCTGTGGATTTAGACAGTCTAAGCATCAGCCTGATCTTGCAAGTTAGTCCTGGAATATGAAATGTGTATTTAAATGTATCCTAATTGGAGTCAAGGAAGTCGAATTTTCACACTTCTTCACTACTTGTTTAGCACTTAAGGGCCAGCCACCTTCCCTTAAACTCCCGGTCACAGACAGGTGAGCAAATCACACAACAAAGGAGAGTAGGAGAGTTTGGGCCCAGTGAAATTTAGGAAGGTAGGTAGGTTTCCTTGAGTTTACAGAAAGGAAATTTAGTGTCAGAGAAAATTAGTAATTTGCCCCATGTATTAATTTCCTAAGGTTGCTATGGTACAATACCGCAAACTAGATATTTTAAAACAACAGAAATACATTCTCTTATAGCTCTGGAGGCTAACGTCCAAAACCATGGTATTGGCAGTTGCGGTTGCTTCTTGGAAGCATGATTATTTTCCATATTTCATATTTGATAATACAGGGTTTTATTATGAAAATTGCTTGATTCATATTATGTATGAGAGCATAGTTTGATGTGCCCAATTGTGAAATTTATTAGAATGTTGAGTCCTCAATTTGTAAACTATGATTCTTTTTCTTTCTGTAATATATATATTAAAGTGTGGTATTCTGATATTAGTCAATTCTTTGTACTTAATTGCACAGGTGTTTGAGTATGGTTAAAAAAGTTATAAAATATTCTTATAATTGTTTATTTGGAAATACTTTGTACTTATCATCTGGGTCTCTTAGTCAGATTCAAACTTTAACAGGCACTCACAGATAACCTTGATAATTACACATCCTCCTATTTATGACTGTGTGGTCCAGTGTGAGAACCAAAATTAACTCTATCTTACCCAGCACCAAACTGCAAGGGTGTTCATTGGAAATATTTTCACAGCTTAGTCTAATAGAATGAACATGGACAGGAAACAACTTACATGAAATAGGGCAGGCGATTGTTTATAAAATAAATAAAACAATAATTATGTGAATTAGGAACTGTGGTGCTCCGAGTTTAATTCATTAATTTATTTTTTAAGAATATTTTTTTCTATAAAGCATGTGTACTCACCAGAGAGACAGAAAGACAGAAAGTAAGTGAGAAATCACCCTTCAAGGGTATGGCCATGCCCCAGTCTGTTCTTCAGCACAAATGTTCATGCGCCTGGTATGACTTTCAAGTCTCTGGGTTTGTAATTGAACTGAGTTTGGCCACATGGGACAATGCCTTAACCACCATGGCACCTGCTCACCCCTATGTTTTATTTCTAATAGTAATGGTTTCATTTTTATTGAGCAATAGTAGGAACTGTAGCGTAGTTATATATTTCATACTTGTTTGATTTGAAATAGCTGAATCTGGGCAAGAAGCACAAATAAAGCAACAAACAGGTCTTCCTTCTTGGGGAATTTTCTGGAATCCAGGAACACAGCTGTGACTACACACAGACTCAGGAGTCTGAGCAGAAAAGAAAATCATTAGTCATAATTATGTATGTTATAAGTTGTTTTGTCTACATATCACTATTTCTCTCCATTTTAGAGAAAATTGGCATTTAATAGTTCACCACGGTTTATCCTTTAGATATTACCTAGGCTTCAATATATTTTTTCTGACAATGATTTTGGTTCTAGTGTGCATGTGCTCACCTGAGAAAGAGGGAAAGACAGAGAAAGAGAAAAATCACCCTCTAGGTAATTGGTACACTACAATCCTCTCTCCATTCTCTCAGAATTTTTGGCATGCATGCATGTGTGTCTGTCATGAGTTTCAGGCCTCTGATTCCAGGAATCAAACTGCAGTCAGCCATGTGGGATTCCAGAGGCTTAAGCACTATGCAATCTGCTGGCCCCCTTTAACTAGCCTTCTAATTAAGAATTACTATACTTAGCTTTCCTCTTTTTGTATTATGTTTTAGGTTTTTTAGATATTTTAATTTTATTTTATTTATTATTTCTTTATAATTTGACCAGAAAGAAACAGAAAGAGAGAGACAGTAAAAGTGAGAAAATGAACCATCATTTCTGGAATTTGAACAGTGATTGACCATGTGGGATTCCAGTGCTTTAATCACCTCACCAACTGCAGGTCTCCTTTATGTATTATTTGTCAAATATTGCCAAGACTCCTTATTATTTTATCTCATACATTACTAAGAAATATCCCTGGCGTCATTTTCTCCTCTTATGCAATTACTTCATCTAAAACCACTTCAATGCAGGTTTTTACATGGTAAAGATTCTGAAAAGTTGTGTTCCTCCAAGAATATTTATACTATATCCTCATATAGTATAAATATATACTATAATTGAGTAAAAATATTAGGTTCTGAATTTTTAAATATCTAATAATGTAATATTAGGTAAAGAAGAAAAAGTTAGCTTAAAACTCATGAGCCAACAGATAAATGATGAGAGTGTGGTTATTCCATTTCTGGGCTTCTGACTAGCTGAGCACTGCTTTTCATATATGAACACAATACATGTACAAAACATAATATTTGTATAAATCTTCTGTCTCATCTAATTACCTGAGATTATAGTCAATGCTTTGAGATATTTAGAACAATGAGGAATGGTATGCAAAAGGTTGGCAGGTGGTATGTGGGTTAGAGCACTGGACTCTCACAGGGCTGACCATGGTTCAAGTCCCAGATATGGTTACTTCCTTTCATACTCTCTCTCTCTCTCACTCTATTTCTCTTTGGTCAAATTGAAGAATAAAAAGAATAATTAATAAATAAAATAAATAATTATTAATAAAATAAGAATGGTATACAAAATAACAAGAGGAAATGTGAATGGTATCTGATCTGTAATCTACTTGTCTTTACAGTGTACCAGATTTCAAGAAGTACTTTGTTCACAAATGATAAAGGGTTTCAGGATATATAGAGAAATTTTTTTTATACACATACACATATACATATACATACACATGAAAATGTCATGTGCTCCATAAAGACATAAGAGATTTCAATCAATAATAAACTGCATATATATTAGTACTCCTATAACATAATAATATAGGTCATATAAATTCCATGTGTTCTGTGAAATATCATCTAGGTTTGTGTAAGTGCAATCTATGATGTTCCCAGAATGAATTTCATAAAAATACATTTCTTGGGGACCAGCAAATGGTGGAATGGTTACATCTGTGGGTTTCCACATGACTGAGTCAAGTCTGAGTCTTGGACCCAGAGGCGTGAAACTCATGCCTGGTGCATGTATGTGTTTGCCCAAAATCTCAAAAAGAGAATAGAAGAGAAAAGATTATGATGTGGCAATTTCCCCTGGGGGCATGATTTCTCACATTCTCCCTCTTTGTCTCTGTCTGTCTCTGTGTTGAGTGCATGTGGCCTATAGAAAAAAATCTCACAAATAATTTTAAAATTTCAAAAACATATTCTTAAAAATATTTATCTTATTAAAAGATATTTAACTATGTATACATAATCACCACCTCATTGACTTCAATTTGTTTTCTTTAGACTTTGCATAGGTCATGTATGTTCACAGGAGAGAGACAGAGACAAAGGGTGAATAAGTGGGAAATTAAACCTCAGGGAGATAGCCATGACACAATCCTTTCTCCTTCATTCTACTCTATGGATTTAGGCATTCACACACATGCACACATGCCAGGCATGATTTTGAAGCCACTAGATCCAAACTAAAATGATAGTCAGTCATGTCAGTATTCAGCACCTTCACAATGATGCCTCCTGCTAGCCCTGTAAAAATCAAATTTATTGCTTAAAGTAGTCATACAATTTTATTTAAAAATTCTGTTCAGAGAAGTCATATAAATTTTGATCTTTTGTATTTTGTGTACTCACCAGAGAGACACAGACAGATAGACAGTGAGAGAAAACATGAGAAATCACCTCCCAGGAGAATGGCACACACATCCAGCATGAATTTTAAGTCACCGGGTCCAGGACTCAAACCACAATCAGTCATGTGGGATTCCAGTGATGTAAGTACTATGCAATCTGCTGACCCCACCTCTGTATGTATTTCATATTGAAATGACATTGTACCTCTTTGAAACTAACAGACCAGTTTATCATCCCTTCTTTGATGATCAAACCATGATCATGGGAATTCCTGTAGATAAATTCTCCTACTTTAACAAACAGCCAACTCTGATTAGGAAATCTCACAAGGTTGTGGATATCATACTGTATCGTATTTCTTTCTTCATCCAGGGGCATGTTGTACCCAATTCCGTTTGTCAGTTGGCTTTTCCTCAGAAATGCTTGAAGCTGAATTAAAGTTAGGGTTTACAAATTAGGACTTCGTTTAATGTAGAGGTGCAAAATCCATATCTATACAGTAATCCTTCTATGTTAACATCTCTATTTACATGTTCACTTTCCTGTAGGGGCTCAGTTTGGTTTGAGTTGTCAGCACTCAGGGCTCATGTGAAAGTAACTCTTTAAAAAAAAAAAAAAAGACAATGGAGGAATGGTTGTCATTCATCAGGAAAATTCTAGTATGTTTCCCAGAGTGTGATTTGTACTCAGACTCTCATAAAACTAAAACCAATAAAATCTGGTTTGGACCAATTGGAGGCTAAACGTGGTTATTCATAAAGGGTACAACATTGAGTGAGACAGTGGAGTAAAGGTGCTTAATAACATATGGCCAAGCCGGCAACTTGAATTCTGTACCTGTAACTTACAAAACACACTGGGTGGGGCCAAAGGCGGCAATGGTGATAAGGTGTTGGACTCTCACATGGCTGATTGTGGTTCAAATCCTACACCTAATGAATTCTTTTCTAACTTTCCCTTTCTTTTTCTCTTTGATCAATTTTTAAAAATAATAATAAAGTTACTATAATTTATAAAAACCAGCACATATGTGTGCATGCCCAAAATTCCCACTGGAGGGAATTCCATTTGTCATGAATTCCAATGATCATAATTACATCATGACCATTTTTTTTTTTTGTGGAGAGGTTTTTGCTATAGGGCATGCGCACTCACCAGACAGAGAGAGACAGAGAGACGGAAAGTGAGAATTCACCCCTCAGGAGGGATAGCCATGCCACAATCCCATCTCCTCTATTCTCCTCTTGGGATCTTGGGCACGCACACACATGCACCCGGCGTGAGTTTTAAGCCACTGGGTCTGGGACGTGAACCGCGGTCGACTACATGAGAGTCCAGCGACACAGCCATTACACTAACTGCTGGTCCCCCATGACCATTTTTTTATGGGGGGGCAATTTCTCACTTCTCTCATCTTTGCCTGAAAAATGCACATGCCTTACCTAATAAATATTTTTATAGAAGTATTCATTATATTTTATTCATTATTATTAATATTTTATATTGACCAAAAAGAGACAGAGAGAGAAAAAGGGAGAAAGCAAGATAAATAGTCCAAGATTCTAACCACTGTCAATCATCTGGGAAACCAGTGCCCTTACCACCACACCAGCTGCTGCCCCTTGTAGGAACATTTTTGAAAGACATATAGATGGATAGGTTTATATTCTTAATAGTGGTATGATATTTTCAAGGTATTCATTTCTTCAAGTTTATCCAAATATGTACATTAAATAAGTGCACTTTTTGGATACTATTTAGACCAAATAAAGCTTTTGAAATGGGAACAAATATATTTGTTCTTTATCTTTATTTTGGATATCTTTTAATGAGTGTGATTGTCATGTGACAATACAATAGACAATTTGTGACAAAATATAAAATTAAAACTTCTAAATTCTAACAGGTATTTTTGTTTGTTTGTTTGTTTTTCCTAGTGGGAATGTGTTCTTACAGAAAGAGACAGAGAAATAGCTAGAAAAAAAGAGAAGAAACCATTTCCCATGGGAAATGGTCAGGCTGAAATCCCTTCTGCATTTCTTCCTCCCTTTTAGGTTTTGGGCCTGTATGCATACACACATGCCTGGAATGTTTTTAAGCTTCCAGGTCTGGGGCTTGATCCATGTGTAATCTAACTGCCTTAATCACCAGGCCATGAGTTCAACCCACAAAGTATTTTATTTTTTTTAATTTTATTTTTTGTTGTTGTTTTTTGTTTGTTTTTTGGAGAGGTTTTCGCTATAGGGTGCATGCGTTCACCAGACAGATAGAGAGAGACATAGAGACAGAAAGGGAGAAATCACCCCCCAGGGGGGATGGTCACTCCACAATCCCTTCTCCATTCTCCTCTTGGGATCTTGGGCACACACGCATGCACGCACACGTGCCTGGCATGAGTTTTAAGCCACCGGGTCAGGAACACGAACCGCAGTCGACTATGTGGGAGTCCAGCAACATAGCCATTACGCTAACTGCTGGTTCCCAAAAGTATTATTTTTTTAAGAGAATTATTTATTTACTCTTATCTATTATTCTTTTAAATTTGCTAAAGGGCATGTGTGCTCATGACATAGATAGAGAGAGTGAGAGTAAAAAACCAAACTGCCAGGTCTGGGAC